AGGAGGAGAGGCGGGAAAGCCACCACTTGCGGAGCCCAGCCTACAGCGTCAGCACCATCGAGCCCCGGGAGGACCTGTTGTCCCCGGTGCAGGACGCCGACCGCTTTTACCGGGGCATTTTAGAACCAGACAAACACTGCTCCACCGCCCCCGCCGGCAGTAGCCTCCCGGAATATCCCAAATTCCCGTGCAGCCCCGCTGCCTACACTTTCTCCCCCAACTATGACCTGAGACGCCCCCACCAGTATTTGCACCCGGGGGCCGGGGACAGCCGGCTGCGGGAACCGGTGCTCTACAGCCCCCCCAGTGCTGTCTTTGTAGAACCCAACCGGAACGAGTATCTGGAGTTAAAAGCAAAACTAAACGTTGAGCCGGACTACCTCGAAGTGCTGGAAAAACAAACCACATTTAGCCAGTTCTAACAGCAAAGAAACTCCCTTGGAGCTTTTGCGTTTAAAACAAACAAGCAAGCCGATACACACGGTGAACATATTTGATTAATTATGTTGTTTCAACGTTTAGAGTGAAGTGCCTTGGCACGAGATTCTTAGCTTCGGCGGAAGATACTGAAAGGGTGTGCAATTTCCTTTTAATTTTACACATGGGGAAGCGTTTGTGTAAACAGGGCGCATCCCTTTCCCTGGCGTGTGGGGGAGGAGAAGAGTAGGGGTTTTTGGAAGGCAAGTTGATGCACGGGTGACTTATGAAAGGTGGCAGTCATTTTTCTAGTGGTTGGAAGTGCTAAGAATGGTGGAAGATGACAGCGCATAGATTCTACTCTTTCTCTTTTGCTCCCTTCTCCCCTCCCCTTCTTCCCCTTTAAGCCGCGGGTGGGTCTACATGGCTTTTGTGGAGAGATTAGCACACCCCAACTTTAATAGAAAGTTCATTCTCTTCTTTTCCTCTTTCTCCTCCCCCTCCCTCTCTCTGCTTCCTTGCTCCCTCCTCTCTCATTCCTTTTCTTTCTTTTAAAAGGATGTGTTTGTATGCATTCTGGACATTTGAATTAAAAATCAAAAGTGTTGTGATCTCGAAAGGATCACCAGAGATGTGGACAAATCATTAAAATTACAGAGCTATATGATCCATAATTGATTAGTCAAAATAACTTATTGATGAAATATACAAATATTTTATTGTAGCACCTATTTTTATATGCACATTTAGCATTTCTCTTTCCTTCACTATTTAGCCTATGATTTCCACAGAGGTGTCACACTATGTTAGAAGCTGCATTTCCAAAATTGAAGTGATATCAGGAAGGCATTTTAAACCACTCAAAATATGGAGAACTTAATGACAAAATTTTAAAGCCAGTGCAACCCACCCAATTGGATCTGTAATTTAAAAAAAAAACTGATTGTACCCCAATATATATTAAAATATTAGGGCAATTAATTGGGCCATTTGGGTGAGAATCAGGTGCAAGTTTTGGGTTTTATTAGAGAAGATTTCAAAGTATTTTTTATTAGTCAACCAAAATGATGTATTGATTTGACTACTATTGTAGCCGATTTTTGATTGTTTAACCAAACACCGTTGCATTTGTACAGATCCACGTGTTCTAGCACCTCAGAAGACCAAATGATGGACTGTACAAATCCCTATACAATGTCTTTATCCCTCTGGGCAGCAAGCAATGATGATAACCACAAACAGGATCTCTGTAAGATGGGGCTATTGTTGTTACAGTCTTATATGTATCCCAGCACATGTAATTTTTTAAATAGTTTCTGAATAAACACTTGATAACTATGTCAAATATGAGGAATTGAAGTAATGATTACTTAAAGTGCAAAAGAACTAGCTGTGTGAGTGACTGAATCTCCATTATTAACAATTTAGGACAAAAAACTATCAAATTTAAAAATATATAGATGTTATTACACCTATGGTGGTTCACAGAATTATGTTTTTCTAAGTGTGTCATTTAATGTGTTTATTAATGAAATTTTAATTGTATACTTCTTTTCCTTATTGAAGTATTCATCTAATACATGGAGCATGGTAAGTAATATATTGCATATTCATTTTTCTTCCAATATTGTGTATTTTTGTCATGTCAATATTACTTATTTAGTCTACAGGTTTCCATAGGTTCATAATTTTACCTGCATAAAATTACCTTCAACAATTATGAAGGATACTTTATCTCAAGTTTATACATGTCCTAAATGTTCATACTGTTGGCAGGGATAAGCCGTCCACCGCTGAGTAAGGTTTGCCAGTGAACTGAGATTCATATTTAAGGGTAGGAAATGTTTGAATTAACCTGAAACCTAAAGAGCTTTGTGCTTCATTGCTATTGGTGGGTCTTCCCATAATCTCACCCGAAATGTGTACAACATCAAGGACTGTTCATGAACTTTATGTTTAAGGAACACTTTCCATGGCATTCTGCCACCAAGAGGCAGCATTCACCCATGAGTAAATTGACAGTAACTGCTTGAATTCAGGTTGAACAGGTGATAATAGTTTTCCTGAGGAT